ACAGAATTAAACTCTATACAATCGTGATTGAATAACTAAAAATTATAACAGGAAGTGACGTCATGGAAGAAAATAGACCAATATTAGACATCAAGAGAGAGAGAGAGAGAGAAATGGGGTTTAACGTCCACTCGACACAAACTAGGTCATTTCGGGACTAACATATGGATTAATTTTATTTCAATAATTCGCTTGCGCGTAGGGGTCTTTAGCAGTGGGAGGAAACCGGAGGACCCGTAGAAAACCCACGAGGTTGTCCAGGCGACCCTACTCCTTGTCACGTACAACCGGGGATTCGAAACCACGCCAGTCGACTCAATGACAGACTTTATGATACAGCGCGCGCACGCTAACCATTCAGCCATCCAACCCCCCATTAGACATCAAAGGAAACTTTGTTTTTCAACCAATTTGAATGCGTTTTTCATCAATTTTTAACAGTTCGTATTTCTCAATTTTTAGGCTGGGGCATTGTGGCCTCTATGACGCATGCGTATGGCCCAATTTTAAGATCAAAAGTGAAAATTCTGAGCGTAACATTGTTATTTTTAAAGATTTCGAATTGAAACTTTCAGAATACATTACAAATGGCTGGATTAAGCCAAAAATGCCAAAAAGATGAGTTCCGCTTTTCAACTTCTTTAATTTTGCCTTGTTTAAAAATGTTTGTCCATCAACTTTTGAGAGTTAGCTCATAAAGTTAAAATTCACCGGAAGTGCCACCATTTTGAAAATGTAAACCAATCTTTAAAATCCTACTCGTGCTACATTATTTATCCAATTTTCAATATCGTCATATTTTTGGAAGGCATTCTTAATTCGCAATCCGACCGGCGCTTTTAGAATTTTTATATTTCACCTAGATTGTTTTAAAGTGACGTCATAAAATTGAAGTTTTTTAAATTGTGCAAGACTTTAAAATCAGGTAAAATGTCAATGGCAACCAATAGATTGAATCATTTGGTGCATATTCTGAAAGTTTTATCAAAAACACAAATGTAAACAATTATTCAGTGCAACTTTTAATGTGATAGATTATGGCGCAGCATCTTTAATATTGGTTATGTTTACTTTAAATGTTTACCAAAATATGCGTTTTGGGCTTCTACAGTGAAAATAAGTCATTTCCGTATATAATTGTTTGCCATCGAATTTATATTACTGGACCAGTTAGTCTACGTAGCCCAGTAAGCATGCATTTCGTCTCTATTTTATGAAGTCACGAAGTCAGTTGATCGAGTAATAGTGGGGCGGCTAAGAAAGAATTTTTGGTAGAATCGTGCATTTTGGGTTAAAAGCATGAAACTTGGCACACAGATGGTGGTCGTTACGGCGATTTTTCTCAAAATGGCCGCCAATTTATTGAAATACATATATATCTTTAGAAGTATACATTGTAGAACCATGATCTAGGTGTCTAAATGTATTGCTCTAAGGTCAACCAAGCCAACGGACACAAAAACATAAGATATAATCAATTACATCAAACACCACATTCAAAATAAATTAAAAGCATATTTTGTTTAAACTTAAAAATAAATAAATATTGGAAATAGCTTTTCAAGCTCATTTCACTCTTTGATATGGTTTATTATATGTAATTTAAAATGTTTTCAGTGTCACTGAACTTAAAATTAATCTAAATATGAAGAGTTTCCAAAATCCAAGATGGCGGAAATTCAAAATGGCGGCCAGAATTGCCCTAAAATGGTCGATTTTTTGGATAATCGTCATTTTTAGGTTGATATGGCTAGTGATATGCGATTTAAAGGGTTTTCTGTGTCACTGAACTTAAATACAACCTCAAAAGAAGAGTTTCCAAAATCCAAGATGGTTGAAACTCCAAAATGGCGACTAGAATTTCCCTAAAAGGAAAGATTTTTCAGATAATCGTCATTTTTTTGGTTTTGTATGGCTTGTAATAATGTTCTTTATTAGGTTTTCAAAGTCAATGAATTTGAAAATAACCTCAGAAATGAATTTTGAAAATGAATATTACCTCAAAAATGAATTTTGAAAATGAATATTAAATCAAAAATGAATTTTGAAAATGAATATTAAATCAAAAATAAATTTTGAAGATGGTAGATGATTGCTTAAAAATAAAAAGGGACAATTGTGAATTTTCCTCTTGGATTGGCTTGTAATAGCAAAGAGTAGTAGTTATTTTGATGGTAACTGGAATTGTTATACTGGATCTCACATAAACAAGATTTAATATTATTCCAGCGAAACAATGAGGCATATATATATCCAGTTGTTACGAATTTATCTATTGTTTATTCAGAATTGGTTCAAAAAAGTGGTTCAGTGAGTAAGACTCGCCAAGAACTAGGTCCGGGGTTCGATCCCTATGTTTGCTGAGAAAGTACCTCAGGATTTTCCAGGATACAGCACGGGGGCTTCTCAAGAAAACAGGTTTATATGTACACGTTGACGTGCGCATAAAAGAACCCTAAACAGTTGGAATTCGAAATAAGAGTAGGCGATAGCACTACTGTCTGGACCAATTTTCCTCATAGCACACTGCTTGACGAATAACAATATTCATTAACTTTGTTAGTACAGAGCAGTAGGACATTAAACCCCATTGCACCATTTCTGGTTCAGAAGACTTATGCCCGGAAACCGTTTGTGGTATCAACTAGACAGATGGATTCATATTTGTCAGTCATGTATTTCACAAAGTGAAAACTGTAAAATGAATCATCAAAGTCTCTATGTCCGGCAACTTTTGTGGTATAGTCTAAATATGGTATCCACAGATCATTTTCGTCTGTAATGTATTGCACACCAAGTTCTAAGTTTAAAAATAATCATCACAAAAATAATTTGAAATGCATTTACGAATAGTATTGTTATCCCAAAAGTCATCCCCCACGATTTCCTCTTTTCTAATCTGTTGTTATTACATGTAGAACTTGTTGTGAAATACGTCACTGACGAAAATGACCTATGGATACCACATCTAGACTCTACCACAAAAGTTACTAGACACAGAGTCTTCGATGCAAAAACGGATCACATCACCATTTCTGAACGAATAGGAGAACTTAAATTCTTAACAACTGCATACACCATAAATGATTCTCACTCCGGTAAAACGGTGCAAAGACAAAGGGGATGAAATTACAAATGCCTCAGTTGGCCCCGTTGTATTTTTATGGGGTGGGGGTGGAGGGTCGGAATAACCAGATATTTTCTCCAAAGAATGTGTCAATCATTAGCATCATATGTTCTTATGCATAAAACAATTAAACTATATTTACTGTGTCTTAAGGTTAAATTCTTTGAAATTCTAATTAGCTTACTGGTAAGTTCTGCACATGGTTAATTGACTGACAGGTAGATTCCTGAGTCTGGTCAATTTCACTTTGCTATCATAAATCAATCCAATAGAAAGATTGATGATTGTCCCTTTTTTTTCTGAAACAATCATCTACAATTATCAAATTCAGTGACTTTTATATTACATATAACAAACCATATCAAAGTGTGAAATGACTTTTATCTGAAAATCGGCCATTTTAGATAAATGTTGGTTGCCGTTTTGAATTTCCGCCATCTTGGATTTTGGAAACTATTTTTTTCTTTAGATTAATTTTAAGTTCAGTGACACTGTAAACCCTTTAAATTATATATTACAAACCAAATTAAACAGTGAAATGACTTTAATCTGACCAATCGGCCATTTTGGGTATATTTTGGCCGCCATTTTGAATTTCCGCCATCTTGGATTTGGGGAAACTAGTTTTAGAGATTATTTTTCAGTTCAATTACAACAAAAACCTTATATATTACAAGCTTGATAATCACCCATCATATCTGGAAATTCAGTTTTCTTTCAATTTTGGCGGCCATTTTTGAAATCAGACAAACCCCAACCGAAAATGACGTAATAGATGAATCTTTTTTCAAAAATCGTGTTCAGCTAGCAATTTCGCCTTTGGAAATTGCTGGCCTGAAATAATTTGTAAAAAAATGTCTTATTTTGACACCCTAGTTATATGTATTTCAATGGATAGGCGGCCATTTTGGAAAAGATGGCCGTAACGACCACCAGGGGGAGCTGCTGAGGTGGATCCACATCCCAAAATAATCAGTAGGGTTGATGCCATCTATGTGCCAAGTTTCATGCTTTTAACCCAAATTGCACGATTTTTTGCTTAACCGCCCCACTATAAGTAATTGTTTGTCATCAAATTTATATGACATATCTTTTGTCTACATGACGTCTTCTTTGAATACCAGTAAAGCTACAGAGAGAGATAGAGAGAGAGAGATGGGGCAACGTCCACACGACACAAACTAGGTCATTTCGGGAAATCAATCTATAACTCAAACTGTATGATTGGGTTGTATAAAAACTATCAAATCAGTTTCGAGAACTGTGTGTGTGAAATAGCTTTATTTAACGTCCGCTTCCACCGAGGTGATATCGCAGACAATTACATGTTATATATACATATAGTGAAATATTTACAATGTGATTAGTGGAAAAAGGATAATTAGGTTTTTATATATACATGTATGTACAGAATACAATAGATAGCAGGACGAGACATAAGATAACAGGTGCAAAGAATAAAGAAGTGCCAGTAGACATTGACAAACAGAAGAATTTGTGACAAAACAGACATGGATATAGCGTGCACCAAGCTCAAGGTCAGTTAACTCTGTAATTACGTTTGACCGTAACTTTATTTTTATTGGCGGATGGTGTAACTTGACGGGAGATGTTCGGGAGAATGTTGGGCCTGTGGAATAAGACAATTGGACCCGTATCAGGTGAGTGGAACGATTTTTTTCTAGAATTTTAAAAAATTCAAATATTTTCCATTTCTTTACGTAGGGATATTCCAACATAATTTTACGATTTTATGACACTTTAAAGAATATTCTATTCTTTAAAGTAAATTAAAGAAAATAAAGTAAAAAAAAATAAGATAAATTAAGAATGCAAAATATAAAGAAAATAAACCTTATACCTTGCGAAGGTATAAAAATAAAAACAAAGACAACCTTAAATCTATTTTTGGACTAGATGATCTTTGTAGTATCTAGTGGTCTTTCTGGGGTTGAGAAGTCTTTTTGGAGTCTTAGCTAGGCTACTTTATCTGAGATAAATTTAGTCGATAGCTTTGGAGCTATATAGAAATATATACTGACGGGAATGTCCACCGTATGACGTCATCGCGTTATGTTATGTCACAGCTGGGTTTGACGCCTGCTTGCATTTGCCACTTCCGGTTGCTGTCAAAATGCTGAGAAACCGTGGCCTCTCCTTCCATGGACTTCCAAGAAACAACCCTGAGTGGAAATCAGAATTATTACGCATCATAAAATCAACTAGGGAGGATCGTGTGAACATCGACAGACTAACCATTTGCTCAAGACATTTTGAAGATGAGTGCTTTTTTACCGGTAAGTGGAGTAGGCCTAGTCGGTGACTATACTAGCCTATAGGCCAAAATCAAAAACACACTTTTATGGATAACAATTACTAATAAATAAATAAAAATGAGAAAGATATGAATATAAGCCAATTCTAATATATACGATTATACACCTTTGTTACATCAATAGCTTGTTATAGCTAATCATGCTCACTCACCTTGCATTCCATTGGATAGTTCGCACTGATGTTTGTATATTTATATTCATATCTTTCTCATTTTTATTTATTTGTGTATATGCTTGATAACGACTTGTGAAACCTTGTTGAAACGTCGCAGTGAAATAAACCATAGTAATTGTTATCCATAAAAGTGTGTTTTTGATTATGTTCCAATTACTAAATGCCATTCAAAGAATATACTATAGGCCCTATACCTATAGTATTTGTAAGTCGATGACTATAATATAGGCCCTATAGTTGCAGTAATAGTATGGGCCTAAATACTAAATGTAATTGTAAACAAAAAAATTTTAGCAATCGGAACTCACGGATTCGTTAAAATCTTTTGATGTTGGCTGCCTAATTTTGATGTTCACTGAAATAGCGTTTTAAATTCAATATATTATTATTATTATCAGTTCGATGATACTGATAGAACTGGCACTTGTTTAATACCGGTAATGTAAATAAATACTAATTAATAGTAATAGGCAGCTTTTAGTAGTAATATGTAGGCCTAAGGCTCATCTTATAAGTTATACTTTATTATAGGCCTAGTATACTGGCAGTACATTGGCAGATCATTTTATATTTTGAATTATCAATTCATCAATGATAAAACTGACACTTGTTTAAGAAGGCTATTATTCATTCATGTACCGTACCAATTTACACTAAAATTAGGAAATATTTTTGATATAGAGATAATACTTCAAAACACCTTTATTTTTATTTTTCTAATACTTCAAATAAAATGTTCTACAATTTAATTTGCAAAAGGAAAAAGGTTATATTGCGAGCTAACTAACCTGCACCTCTGTGCCACACACAGGCCTACGGTATAGGCCTATCTATAGTATGATTAATAAAATTAGATGTTGCATTTTATTATCAATTGCATGGTATATTAGAACAGTTTTAAAAATCTTGTTTATATTCAAATGTGCATTTTTTTAATAAATTCAGCTTTGTTTGTATACTTTAGTTGATAAAGATGTAAATATCCCTACAAAATTCTTTTCCAATCTAGGCCTAATTAATAATTTTAGAAAATGGCCATTTATTTATTTTAAGTCCCTCTGTCATTTAATTTTATAAATGCAGACACCCCCCCCCCCCCAAAAAAAAATAAAAAAAATACACATACTTTATTTTTTCAGCTTGCACAACTGGAAAAAAGTTTACTTATATAAATCCACCCCAATGTAAGCAATTATTTCATAGTCTTTTTGATCTAGGCTTTGTTGAGAAATTAAATTAGCTTCAGTAGATATAACAATTATATATAAGGAAAAAGAAAACACTATTAGTATTAAATAAAAAAGGAATTATTACTTTAGTTATCAATGAAAAGGAATTTTTGTTCTAAAATAGATGCTTCCAGGAATCCTGTACATTAAAAGATTTACAAGAGTTGATAAAGGCAACTTCATCCTTGATATCTGATATTTCAATGTTGGCCACACCAATTTGATTTTCTGTTCTTCGGGCTTCGATATAAAAATAAATAGCTAATTAAATCATGTGAAAGATGTTTTTTTTTTAAATTTAGAACTATGAGCTTTTGAACTGAACAACCAAGTACTTTTGGTGTTTAAATAGATGTATGTATTTTTCCAGAAGAACCAAATAAATAAATATAATGAACGTCCATTTCTATAGCGCCAAAACTCTGCAAAAATTGTGTTCATAGTGCTTGACAAAACATACCTACACGAAGTCTTTAGCTCTAAGTTATAACTTGTTTGAAACAGATGAGTTTTTAAAAATTGTAAGGCACTACATTTATCTCATCATGTTGTTTATATGAATATATGATTACGGTATCCAATATCATTCATGTCATTAACATTTAACTTGTTTGCATACTTGACAAATTAGCCTATAGATCTAGTCAAATTTTTTTTGCAGAATTACTTCGTGTAACCGGGGTAAAATATTTACATGCAGTAATTAACAAGACTGTTTTGTTAGGGGTTTTTTTAAAAAAAAAAAAATTAAAACACGTTATCCAAGCGAGAACCAAAATATATTTCTTTATGTCCTAAATTAAAATAATACAATAACAATAGACATAAATTTGAAGGGGAATTATGTAAGATTTAGATAAAGAGTTGGTCGTTCTCGCTATTAACTATAACATTTCAAAAATAGATAATGCAAATTGAATATATTGAAAATTTACCACCATACCGTTCTAATCTATTTAAAATCTGAGCAATCAGATGGCATCGAGAGTTGATTATGGTCTTTTCATGTTAATAAATGTCTAATTGATAATTTACATAACATTTAAGGCCCAAAGAAAGACCTGCAATAAGCAGATTTAGCTCTTACATAATGCCTGTTTAACATTTAAAAATGCATCTTTAATTAACAATACTTAAATGTATTATTAAATAAAGCGATCAGACAATGTTAATGTTACATAATTGGATGAATGATTATATAATTTATAGGCACCTTATTAGATTGAAATACCAACTCTTTCTTCCTCAACTGATAAGATTAAATTATTTAAATCAAAAAATGAAACAGCCTAATATTATTGTTAAGATTAACTTATTTAATTGAAACAAAAATTGTAGGTTATAATTTTAATGATTAATTTAATTACATGGAACTGTAAACCCACATCCTTAAATATCGACCGGCAGCTATTTTTAAATATTAAATTTTCTCCAGAACCGTGTTATTTCCTGAAAAGCCATACATCTCAGCATTGTAACAAAACCAACATTATCAATATCGGAGCAAAATTGACTGAATTCTGTAACACCAACTGGCAGATCCCTTTTTCGCGAAAATTGGTCATTTGGCTTCAATTCTCAACCTATTTAACCATCAACATAACCATACAAACACATTACACATAGCTTGAATGGTTTATTTTCTATGTTTGAAATACATAAAATTAAATAATTATGCTTAATTCAACTATACAAAATTAAAATCAATAATGATATAATACAATCAAACAATTTAAACCAAATCCCTTGTTGATTATTAAAATAAAACAAATAAAATAATGAAAATAATAATATCCCCTCCCCCCCCCCCCCAAAAAAAATATGAAATAAAAAAATAAAAAAAAATATAAATAAATAGATACATAAAATAAAATACTTTATCAATATATTAGTGTCTAGTGTCTCAATATTTATACCCCCTCCCCCCACACACACAATATGAAAAGAAGTAAATAACATAAATAAAACATACAATTATTGATCAGTATCACAATAAATCAACATGTAATATATTTGCTTCACAAGCTGGCACTCCCCTAGGCCCCTAGGTAGCAAACAAAAGACAGGTAGGCTACCACCAGGCAGTACAGTACAGTTCTGCTGAAAATACAAAAGATTTTTAAAAAATTGTGTAATTAAAAGCTATAGCCAGCACAGCCATGTTATTATTCATACCAAACTGTATTTTATATATTTACGATTTATTAATGATCTGCAAGTATTATTTTACAAATTAATGAATTGAAAACTCTATTTTGCCGATTTTTAAAAGTAGGTCAAAGCTGTCAAACTTTGCCTTAACTGGGCAACACACGTGTCGAGATTTTCATGAAATGTAATACTTATTTATAATACAATATAATATCAAAATTATAAGATATTCATTTTTATTCTTACCTCGAACATTCCTTCTATTTCTCGTTTCCATTTAACCAGATGATGCCACATTTAAACTACAAGAATGCGCTAAATAAAAATATCGCTACTGGGCCTATCGTAAACAAACAGCGAGAACAGCTAGAAGACCGGAAGTGATCAACCACCTTTGTCGCCGTTTCACGCGTTTCGCAACATAACGTCGAGAATTCATGAGTCGGCAATCATACGGTATTATCTATGTATAGGCCCAGCCCTATTACTAGTATTACAGTACTTTATGAATTATAGAGCAGTGACACATATAATATTTTTTTTTTAGATATTATTTATTCGATTGGATTAATACAAACATAATCTTTGATAATGAAGTCCCATGTAGAATTCTGTTATTGGATTGCATCATCATGTTATAAAATATAAGGCTAAGTGAACAAAACTAAAGAATTATGATATTGATTGAAAGATATATCTTTACAAGTTTATAAGTACGTAGGTCTGTCAAGGGTCGAACTTGGACTCTGACCTTTGGACGATTGAGCATGGTTTAGTTCGAAAAAAAAATTGACATCTATATATATGGCCTAAATCTGCAGAGATAAATGTTTTATGAATGGGGTGCAGGAAAGGTGAATCAAGCTGGTTTCGTTTTCTTGTCATGTCAGATATTCTTCACCACCACGGGGGCCCAGGGAAACCCATCAATTGGTCTGAGGGCAGAGGACTACCAATAATACAGGTTTAATTATCATTATAAATTGTTTCTAGACAACAACATAGCTTAAGCAATGTACAAAAGCTATCCTAAAATTGTTTATATTTATATTACAGCTACTACCTGCAGTACTGGAAAAATAAGAAGACAGTTAAAACCTGGAAGTTTACCCACTCTTCATCTGCCTCAAAAGACTATAATAACACCAAAATTACCTGCCAGGAAACCACCCGTAAGTGTAATATGTATTTCTTTATATGTATATTTCCATAAAGATTTTCTTTATCTGATAATAAAGGCCTATATCAAATAAAATATTTGTATCCAAAACAAGGGATTGATGTATATATGTTCATATGACTCGATGAGACCCCATTTCATTTAATTTCTTTGAAATGAGGTAATATTTACACCCCCAGTAAAAAATTAGTCTTGTCACATTGGGAATAATTGCCATGCAAGAGTGCATCTAAATAGGCCTAATGTGAAATGCTAGAAATTGTGAGAATCTGATTCTTGCAACAATTTGACTATACCATTATCTATACTGTTTAATTATGAAATTGAGCAGGCATTATGTAAGAGTTAAATATGCCTTTACTGGTCTTTCTTTAGGCCTTTAAATGTTATATGAATTATTAATCAGACATTAATTAACTTACAAGCCCATAATCAACTCTCAATGTCATTTATATATTTTTTTTAAACTACAAGTTTAACAAGAATTGTCAGCTCTCAATCTAATCTTACATAATGTCTGTGTAAGTTACTTGGCTGTTTAATTAATCATTTAATTTTGATGGGTTCACTTTTTTAATTACTAAATTGAAATAGTCTGAAATATTCTAAGTAACTATTATAATTATCTTTACAGAAATCAAGAATTTCATCTTCCGTCTTGTCTTGTGGTAGTTCTACTGGTCCATCTTTCCCATTTGATGCATTGAAAGAATCTACTAAATATAAAATTCCAAATGGATGGTGCTGCGATTCATCTGATCCTGATAAGATTATCCTTGTAAGATTAGGAGGCTGTCAAATTGTTGCCAGTGTATATAAATCGATGAGTTTCACAGTACATCTTAATGATTATCTTATACCAAATACTTTTATAGTTTCAACTAGTTCCATAACATCAATTATTAATTATATAGAAACTCTACATTTTTGTACGGGAATAACATCTCCTGAACTTCAGACATATTCTGAACTCCAGTCAGAAACATCTAATCATTTTCGTCAGTTATTAATGAATTCAACATCTGAAAGTAGTATCAATTATGCAAGTTCTGTCCGCTCTAAACAATGTTTAGGAATCATCTCCAATCATAATAATAAAATACCTAGTACTTTTCTTTGTACAAACTGTCGACAGGTCAAGCGAAATATAGTAAGACGACATAAGCGTGTGATTGGAACCCGCTCATTTAAAATAGTTTCATCCAAAACACCACTTCAACGTGTCAGTAAGGGAATACTGACTAGAGCGCTTAAAGAATCGCGAAAACAATTAAAGAAAGTTAGTAAACATCTAAAATCAATTAAAAAAACAACTTGCCAAGGAATGTATTCCCATTGAAAGAGACATGCACAAATCTCTGTTCAATGTAATGGATAGCAGCTCTGTCACAGATCCTTTTGTAAAGCCTTTTTGGAATGAACAGAAAAGCGCCTTTTCTAAGAAAAACAGAGATCACAGCTGGCACCCAATGATGATCAGACTGGCCATTCTTCTACATTCTCAAAGTTCATATACCTATAGGTCTTTACGAGAGTGTGGAATTTTAAGACTTCCAGGGGAATCAACTCTTCGTGATTTTACAAACTTTATTAAACCTCAACCAGGATTTCATACAGATGTTCTCATAGAAATAAAGGAAGCAGCTGATCAGTTAAAAGAGGAGCAGAGATGGGTTGTCTTGCTGATGGATAAGATGTCTATTAAATCTGATTTGGTATTTGATAGACAGACAGGAAATGTTATTGGTTTCATTAACAAGTAAGTGATATTATGTATTAAAGGACAATGCGGCAAAAGGTTAATTTGGCAGTATGTTGCTTTATGCTCATCCTCTTGAATAACGAATTAACTCAGAAATTATTAATATTCCTATAATTAATATTGACATTAATATTTTCTCAGCCTTAGATCCTTTTATGCCAGGTTTCCACTGTCGTGCGATTCGTTACAATACAATTGTCCCTATCAAGAGCAGGACCTGCTATGTACAGATATGTTCGGATACGTTTCGATACACTCAACGCAATTGCTTCGACTGACCTCATTATATGATTAGATATGATAGAATCCCCACATTACTCCACGATTAAAACCATATAGCACGAATCGTGCCAATGGGAACGTAGCATAAGCAGTATCAAATGACCAACAGTCTTCTAAATTATAAACAGTCTGTTTTAACGGTTTATCTCCTAGGAATGCCTACCTACCTGGATATGAAGGGGTCACTTCAGTCTTCTAAGTTTGAATATTTTAACTTCTAAATGAATGATATTAATAATACTATAAGTGAAATGTTGTCCACTTATACTTTGAAAGTTAATGGTTGGCATAAATAATGGTGGCATGACAGTGATATGTGTCATATACATAATTTGCAAATTTTACAAGTATTTGACTTCTTTTGCTAAAGTCTGAACATATGCCTTGCCAAAATAATTATGTTCCCAAATGAAAAGCCATCTAATTTCTTGTATTTTTAATTGACTGGAATATTGTTTTTCTGGTCTTAAAATTTTAAACTACTGTCGGTTTCTTCACATTCTAAACATAAAATGACTGGAAAATGTTCTTCGTAAATTTGTATCAATATATATTTCAGTGCTAATGAAGGTGGAAGTCTTTCACAGAATGTTGCTACACATTGTTTGGTTTTGATGGTTGTTGGAGTGAATAGCAATTTAAAGTATAGCATTGGATGGTTTCCTACAAAATCAACCACAGCGACTGATTTATATGCAATATTTTGGGAAGCTGTTGCTCATCTTGAGACTTACTGTAATCTGAAGGTTAGTATTAATATGGAAATTTATTGTTAAACTTATTATTAACACTCAAACAAAAAATAAGAATAAGCTTATTAGGTATGCAATGTCACTGAACGAATACACTCCGATTGTAATTGGAAACCCAAGTGAAAGAACATGTACTATGTTGTGTATTACTCAATATGGCATTGTAACAAATAATACCATTTTATTGACACTTATATTTTTCACAAAATAGCTGTATTCTTTTTAAATCAAATTGATGTTAATGATTTCTGTATTTGTAGGTTATAGCTAGTACATCTGATAAGGCATCTTCTAATATGAAATTTATTGGTCTTCATGGAAAGGATGATATAGTATATAAACAACTAATCTATTTTCGCCAGATAGAGAGATATTTTTTCTCTCAGATGCTCCACATCTTTTGAAGACCATAAGGAATAATCTTTCAGCTTCAGGAAGTAAGCAAAATTCAAGATTGTTATGGGTGATCGAGTTCATAGTTTTTGAAAGTAATAGAACTAAAACAGGAGTATTATTACCTAAAAGAATTGTAGTGTGGCATTAGTTGAAATACTTTAGTCTGATCACTTTATATTGGATAACTTTAATTACACTCCAAATATTATTTTCTACCATTAAAGGGGCATGGGGTAAGATTAGATAAAGAGCTGACAGTTCTCGCTACCGGTATAATAATTAAATATACATGTAATGAAAACAGAATATGCTTTACTCTGAACCGAGATATTTGCCATTCAAATTTAGGCAAGCCTCCATCATCAATACTAACGTTAGTATTATAATAAAGAAAGTCTGGATTAGCCATTTTATGTTAATTTATCACAAAATGTATTCAAATCAACTAAGTACCACAGGCTAATGATGGCATCGAGAGTTGATTATGGTCTGGATAAGTTTATTAATGTCTAATTAATAATTTAGATAACGTATCAGGCCTAAAGAAAGACCTGTTATAGGCAGATTTAGCTCTTGCACAATGTATGTTTAAGTTATAAAATTAATTCTATAGTAAAAGGAGACATTCAGTTTGAAATGTACTTTTATTATGAATAGCTTTGTATCAAAATCTAATAGATCCATTGTTTTATTAGAAAAATGGTAAGAACCTCTTATAAAGGCATGTTGTTGATGTTTATGAGAGAGACATGCAAAACGAGTTGAGCAAAGCTACAAAACTGACTTACAATCACGTTCATCTAACATCATTTTCCGTCATGAAGGTGAACCTTGCTGCTCAGGTAAGCTTATTATGTAGATATTAAATACAATACTGAAAACAAGCCTGGAAATAAGGCACCTGTCACTGACAATGTCAGGCACAGATTCAGGCTTTGTCAGACACAAAACCTCTGGTGTCTGTCATTTTGTCCAGCACTGATTAACATATAAAGCAATTATTTCCAGGCCTGACTGAAAACTTAAATATTTTGCCAAAGTACCGGTAATCAAAAATGTGTCTGATTTATGATCATGATTTTATAGTCTCATTATATTTGTGTTTTCCAGGTTTTAAGCAGATCGGTTGGATTGGTTATAGAGGAATATGGTGGTGAAGCAGCTACAGAAACAGCAAAATTCATCAAACTAGTTGACCGTTTTTTTGACTGCTTAAATGTTAGGTCTTTGTATGAAGGTGAAAGAAAAAGGAAACCAGACTTAATGCCATACACAAGCGTGGATGACCCACGATTTCAAGTGAGAAAATTACTATTTTCATTTAATTTGTTTCCAGATACGATCTAGGTATTTATATTTGCCAACTTTTGGAGAGTTCACAAAATTAGTCTTTTTATCTTAAAGATGCATATTATAAGATATAGTTAAAGAGCTGACTGTTCTTGCTACAGATAATGAAAAATATATTACATGTATATTGCATATTTTATTCAAATTACTTCTTTATTCAAATTACTTCTTTCTCAGCAAAGTTTAAACTGTTTGAAGATTTATTATTGAGCCTCAATTTTCCATTTTATCGTAAAATTCTTAAATCTCGCTTCTGTTCAAATCCCTTTAAATCTGGTCTAGAGAGTTGATTATAGGCTTATCATGTAAATAAATGTCTAAATAATTTATATAACATTGGAGGCCAAAGGACTTGAGTAAAGTAATGCATCTTTAATTCTGATTTTTTTTATCTCCATAGTTCTTAACAGAAGACTTTTTGGGTTATCTTAGAGACTTGAAAGATCAAGTTGACAACAGACAAGGCTTCAGCAAAACAGAAAAATCCAAGATGTTCTTATCATATCAATGACCAGTAAGTTTATGTAACATTAATATTATGGAAACTAAACTGTGTCATATCTTTTGGGTTGAGTTTTGTAACTGTGTGTACTATATACCGAATTCATTTTGAAATTTACATATTTTTTAAATTACTGATTATCCAATAAAGATGTATTTCAAATAAAAATACCTATCTTTTTTTTGCAGCAAAAGCTGTTGTTGAAGCCACAAAGTATCTTATTCAACATGGGGTCAAATTTGTGCTGACAAACAAATTCTGTCAGGATCCTGTTGAGGAACATTTTGGCCGACATAGGGCCTTGGGAAGACGGAGTGATAATCCAACCGTATTTGAATTTGGGTAAGTCCTCCCCCACCCACAATATCTCTTTTATTAATGTTCAGCTCAAATGTAATGTATATATCACTAAAGTATATGTCAAGCAACTACAATAACAAGCTGGGGTTTTTTTTACAAAAATATAATGATTTATTTTTAAATTACAGTTACCAAGAAAATAAACTTCGTTTACAAAGAAGTCTAGCTCTTCAAATAAAACCAAATGGAAACGTAAAAAGAAGCAGCAAACAGTATGAAATAGAGATTGATGACACTCCTTTAAAGAAGAAGCGACGCAACAAGACGTCGACAGAAGCTTGTTGAGTCCAACCATGTTCCTGCAAACCCCTCAGCCCTCGTTTTTATACACTCACATTTTCATCTTACGTATATTGTTGTCACCCCTGTCCGTCCATTCACATTTTGCTTGTGGACGCTCTATGGGTCACAATTTTTATTCGATTTTGATGAATAAATGTCTAAATAATATCTTTTATTTCACATGAAATAAATAGAGATGAATGTTTTCATGTTCAGCTTTGACTGGGGCTAATGAAGACAGCATACACCAGCAATAGGCAGATTTGGCTCTTACATTTTTAACTAATAATATTAAAAAATACCTAGAACTACAGTAGTGGGGGCCTCACCGTACAAGTTAGAAACCATTTTGTGGTATCTGTATGATCGTATAGGTTCATTCTATTTGTTGATTGGAATCAAATATCATAATTTTTAAAACATTACAAATCAGACTCATTTGAATAAAATATTTGTTTTGAAGCCTAAAAATACAGTTTTTGCCAAAATGACTTTACTTCCGGTGATACTAAAAATGTTAAATTAGTTTTATAACATTAGGCATCACATGATGAAAATTTTATGAAAATCGAATAATAATTGACACTTTTATGGACCAAAAACCTTCAAAAGTGGGCGTATCCTGCCTGGCAGCCACCAGCCTATTTTTAATTAGTATGTGCCATCTATTTATTTTGGGATGTCAGTAGGGGGGTCATCAGCCTCACTATTGGCTTGTTTTTGATAATCGAAGAATGTATAAGATCTATAGCCGAAAAGTGTGCCTTATGTTTTTAGTACTTGCAATTAGCATTAATATTGTTAATGCCCAAATTTGATGCAGGCATAACTAAAAAAATTTGACTTTTATTGTCACCAGCACCCTTTATTATCAAGCTTTTGTGTCAAGTTTGAAACATAGATGGTAAATAAAATTGTATTTGTTTAGTGACTAATATTTAATTTATCACCCCAAATACCAATAAAGATCATATCTTATGAACAAAATTTACAGTGCAAACTTTAAAATGTGCATTTTAGAGAACTGAAGGATGTTGAGTACTCTAAATTAATTCAAAATGTACAACCTTCAAAATTTATCATTTATTTTGTCATCTTTTTTAAGTCTTTTCGTAGTCCTTTGTTGATTTTGGATTTCTTACCTTTACATTCTCTCACATAATGTTGTATCATGCGCTTACATTTGTGATGTGCTCTTATTAAAAAAAACATGTCTATGCAAAGAATCATACATTCATCTAAATCTTTGTCTGTAAATTGTTCTGTTTCATTGGTAGCATAAAAGAAATCGCTCTTAATTAAATTGTTTGTCATGCAACTGACACGGAAATCTTTCTTTGACAAATTCAGATGTATCTGTTTACCGGGATACATGCGTCTAAACACATCTCTAAACCAATGAAAAAATCTGCAGTTTTATTTGTAATGTGAGTTAAACCCCCTCTATCAAATAATTCAACTAAATCATGTTGATTATTAAAATCAGTGGAACAATATTCACTTTTCATGCAACTGAATATGTCGTAACGATTTTTATAATTGATTTCATTATATTTTTTAAGAAATTTGTGAATGATACTCCCACCAATGTAAACGACAATACTGCTCTCCTCTGAATTCACACCCTGTACGTGAGGGTCATTTTCACTTTGTTTGTCTAAAATATTTTCAAAAACTAGTGCATTAAAAAACTTAATACATAGAAGTATAATAAAATTTCTATCCAAGTTAAAACGTTGAACTAAATCTTGAGATATAGCTGGTATAATGGTATGAAATGTACTCCAGCTCTTTTCAGCACATGACTCTTTATATGAAGAACCAGACTAAAGGAAAAGCATTGGATAAAACTTTTAAGTGTAAAATATCAATTAGGGGAGCCACTGCAATAGAAAATCAATACAAAAAGCATAAATTTACTTGTAAAAAGAAAATTAATGTTCAGTTTATACAAAAGAAAACTATGTGTGGGTGTATAATAATTACATGTGTACAATTTATATATTTGGCAGTTTACATATTTAAGTATGTTATAAAATATATATAAGTATTAAACTAACACATGCTAAATGTATAATAAAAACAATAGAAATATAATAAACATGAAACATGAAAGTAATTTGACCTGTATTTTTTGAATAATAAATCAATATAACATTATCAAGCAAACTGATGTCCATTTAATTAATTACCATTGATATAGATTCTCTATTGATTCAACTGGTAATATTGAGATTATCTGTTATATATGAAGTTGTGATATTGTGAAACCCTATTAATGTTGGTCTTACGAAGTTGTGATATTGAGAAACCCTATTAATGTTGGTGTGATATTGTCAAACCATTGTCAATACATGTATTATCACTGTTACTGACAATATCTCAGGTATTGATTATCTTGTATTAATTATTACATAGAAATACATACTGACAGTATCTATTTCTATGATTATTACTACTAAGGGACAATAATCTGTTATTGTGTGTCTTATTATTTTCATTATGGCTGCTTTTTAACTTTTTAATGGTTTCTACTTTCTTCTTGTTATTAATTACTGGGAGAGAGGCACTACTGCAGGAAGTCGGGGAGTTGCCCCTATCCCTAAGAAGAAAAGAACTAGCGACAAGGTACTGGGCTAAGATCTCGCAACTGGGCGAAAGATCCCCAACCTTTGTCAGTCTAAAAAATACAAGATATGTGAGAGATCCTAGAAAGAAAAGCTTCGGCCAGGGTATCAGAGAAACAATCAAGGAACTGCGACTGGGGGAGCTCGTGATAAATGAACACGACCCCCCAGTGATCGCCCCCTATACCGCCGGTTAATCTAGATCTACTACAGAAAACCGACAAGAAAAACAACCCCACTGCTGCACGTGCTTTCTCTCTAGAACACCTGGAAGACAACTGGCCGTCTGATGACTGGGACCATGTGTACACGGATGGCTCACGCAATCCTGAAAGGGGCACCAGCTCGTTTGGAATATACCTGCCAAACGGGGAACAGGGAATAAGCAGGAAACTGCCCAATAACTGTTCTGTGTACACTGCAGAGCTTGTGGCCATTCGTGACGCTATATCATGGATTTCCCATCAAAAGACTAGTAAGTTCGTCATTCCAAGCGACTCTCTGAGCAGTCTGATTTCAATCCAAAATGACAACTCGGACTGAAGACCAAAAGTCATTTTGGAAATCAGGCAGCTGTACCAGAGGGTTTTAGAGAAGGGAAGCAAAGTAGAACTCATGTGGATTCCATCACAAGTCAACATTAGAGGAAACGAGGAGGCAGATCGACTCGCCAATGAAGGTCTCAAGGACACAGCACCACTCCGCACCATAGACTACAGCACCACGGAAATATACAGTATGGTCAAAAGACACGTCAATTCAATCTGGGAATTAAATCTCGTTGAACTTGACACATACAGATTCCGGCTGGATGACAAGATCTACACAAAGACAACACTCAATCACCCTAGAAGAGATATTTATAGACTTATATCGAAGCTAAGGGTGAAAGAGCGGCTGCGAGACTACAAATACCAAGTCATCATCTGTGAGTGCGGAGAAGAATGTACCGCCAACCATGTCCTGGTAGACCGCGAGGTATACGAGGAGGAGAGAGGAACTAGTGAGAACAATGGAGACCAACAACATACCATTCAACACTAAGAACCTACTCTTCCCGAGACCAGATCTGAAACTGCAAATCTTCGAACAAATCCACGCCCTAATGGACACAGTTGGACTAAGTAGAATAGTGACGTAAGAGGGGGTCACGGTTAGACGGACCCGGCATCTAAACACTAAACTACATAGGGGATTTATACCAAACTGGCAGGATAGTGGAGTAAGGGGGAGTCACGATCAGACGGACTCGGCATCTAAACACTATTCCACCAAAAACAGACACCAAACCTACAGAGTGGAATAGTGGAGTAAGGGGAGGTCACGATAAGACGGGCCTGGCACCTAAACACAAACCCCACAAAGATGACATCTACCAAACTAGCAGGATAGTGGATTAAGGGGGAGTTACGGTCAGACGAACTTGGCACCTAAACACTATTCCGCAAATAAAACTGATACCAAACCCAGAGAGTGGGACAGTGGAGAAAGGGGAGGCCACGATAAGACGGGCCTGGCACCTAAACACTAACCCCAAACGATGACATCTACCAATCCAGAAGCAGACGAGATCATCTACCAAACGATATGTTTTGTATTAAATAAAGGGAAGAACTTCCCACTAAACCAAATCCATGGCCTAAGGCCAAATGGAAAGATTGCAAAATCATTCTAAAAAACAGGAATCGGCTTCGGCTCTCCTATGTCTTGTCTGCGATATCACTTATGTGGAAGCAGACGTTAAACACCAAGAACGAACGAACGGATATTTATCATTAACGTAAAAATGTGACCTGTATGCATTACGAAACATTGTTATTAAATAATAGAGAAGTAGTTATATCCATATATATACCTTGTGTTGTGTTTTGTTATAAATGGTTAACCGTGCTTCTAGATGTCATTTAAAGAATATAATAGACAAAGAGCTGACAGTTCTCGCTATAATAGGGAAATAAAATAGATAATGAAAACAGAAAATGCTGAAAATTTTAGCCAAATTGCTTCACTCTGAACCAAGTATATTAACGATTTAATTTTCAGATACCCTCGGTCATCATTACTGATTATCATTACTACAGTAACTTTGGTTCTATAAGTAAGTCTTGATTATCCATATTTACGTTAAATTATCCATCACAAAACGATGCAGGGATTCGATACGGGTTTGAATGAACAGGTAGACAGGTATTCAAACAAATTTAACATCCTGTGAGGCTTTATCCAAGATTAAAATTAACAGGTTATTATTGGCATGGTACGATGTAGTCTTTACACTTTCCAAACAAAATGGTACAAAACACAAGGGTGGCTTTCTCTTCACTTTCTGAGATATATTAACTGTAATTATCTTTTGGAACTCATCATAACTAAACGAAAATGAAAAAAAAAAATGAAATGAAAGTTAAAGATTGGAACTATAAAGGCTAACAAATAATTTGTGAATAAAATTCTGAAAATATATTATTACCATGCAGTATCTGCACAGAAGAAAATGACGGATTTGTTGATGTTATGTTACTGGCTATTTTCTGTAACCGATCAGATGATATAGGCCTATAATTTACTACAGCAGTAGACCTCTAGAAATGAAATTTGAAATGTTAATTTTACCTATACTATATAGTATATCTTACTAGGCCTTCTGATAATAAAATAAATTAAATAATTAGTAAAATTATACTTCATGGGTAGGCTACCATAACAATCATACAATGTTTATCATGACACGTGTATAGTATATGTTTTTGGGCCTACCTGTTTACTTATTGTACTGGTTGTGGTTAGTTGATTTCCACCATCATCGTTTACTGCAGACTCCACAAACTCAGAGAAAAATTCCTGTGACAATAAATAAACAGAAGAATTTATATAGACTAGTTACACTCGCAAAAAAGGGAGGGGTGTAGGCCTATGTTTTTTTATGAATATGGCGGTACAGAGAAAAATTACGAACGGCACAATATTTACATTAAAAATGCCTAGGCCTATCTTAGTAGTAGGCTACTATGTGAGATGTCTACTACATGTAGTACTTGTAGTACTAGTATCTGAGACGTCTCGTTTAATTACGAACAACACGATTTTACATTATAATTCATTCATTTAAAACATAATTATATAATATCTGAGACGCCTCGATGTTATTAAGAGCAAATGGGTAAACTTTTCATACATAACTTTACCTCGATCACCCCGTCTAATTCCAGAAAATAATTGGTGTCCATACAGGACTGGATTATAACGGAAGTCACTTATGCAAAGAACTTTTTGCGCAGGCGCTGCACAACATAATACAACGTCATAACGGTAAATACGTCAGGTGGACATTCCCGTCAGTATATATTTCTATGACTAAACTAATACTACCGATGTGGCTAGAGCTAACCCCAAGCACTCACAATTTATATAATATATGGGTTTGCCCAATTGCAATATGAACTACAATTACCCTAATAAATATATCAGATACGAAATTACAATCACTACTATTTTTTATAATTTACACTGGGCAATTAGGTGAATTATATCCACTTAATCCAGGGGAAACGGGATTTTTAAACTAACTCCCACTAACACCCTACCCACAAAAGTTCAAAAGTCGACAGCGCCATTTATAGTAAAACCGGGGTTTTATCATACACTTAGATCAAGCCCCACGGCTTCACCCCCCTATTGACCTAACCTGTGATGGCCAAGTAAGGCTTGATGGGTCAAGGGGTGATTCCCCAGTAGGCCTACAGTTAAGTATATTTTCACCACTATATTTATAGATAAAAGGGTACTTATCAACCGATCTCTTTTAATATCTTTTACACCACAACACCAACTCTTATTACACTTCTAGTCAAACACAGGTTTCCAACTCAGCATAGAGGGCAGAGAACTTGATATTGAGAGTCAGAGAGAGCATGTGCATATAAATGTGGCCTTTTATAACTTCTCAAAGCACATGCATTGGACCAGCCCACTATTAAAACTGGCCAGTCCATTATAGACACAAGGGAGACTGGGACATTTTTACTACACATGTTTTTAGTATGCGTCTTCAAGTTTGTGTATCTCAAAATTTTGGTGGTCAACCTCATACAAATTTTAGTGCAAAGACATGACCATTTGTTTCTCTGTCTGTAGTGAAAAGCATTCAGCCCAACGAAAATTTGGGGAAAAGTTGGAGGTGGGCAAAGAGGCCAGAATTAACATTGAAGTCAATGGGGAAATTAATGGTGGTCTGCCTCCTATATGAAAACAACCTGACAGTGGATGAAAGGTCTAAATTTGATGATATGATCTCCAAATTGTCAGAAAATGTGATATATGGCATTTTGATAGTAAAAAATGTGAAATGGTAAAATTTCAAAAATATTTGACAAATTTGGGAGGGGAAATTTTGATTTTAGTCAAAATTTTGTGATTTTCAGTGTTTATTTACTTTTCAAAATTAGTGGAAAATATTTTAATGTAGGATTTTTACTTTTTCTGCATTATAAAGGTTAGACGGGAAGAAAGTATCATAATTTCCACTCAATTTTGCCTAAAAATCATGATAAATTGTCTGAAATTCTTCAGATTACCCCCAATATTGCTGTCAAAATTTTAATTATTCATCTGTTGTAAAATGAACCAAAATGTCTTGCATGTCTTTATTTTCATTGTTAAATAACTTGGCAAGGGTCCATGTGTTTGTCAGATATTGAAAAAGTATTCATGTGTTTGTCAAAAATTTAAAAATTAAGAAATTTAGTCTAATTATGTTCTGCTAGGTGTGTTA